ATAACTTCAAGCCAGAGAGAGATTGAATAAAATAGGTGGTTGTTGAACTTTTTAAATGTAATTTTAGATTTGGTTCGTAGAATGACAAATATTTACATTCTTCAATGTTGAATAAATAAACTAATCAATCTACCCGTTAGTTGTATCAGTCATGTAATGTCAATGATCATCAGTTATTTTAGTAGTTTTCAAGATCAATCAGATTGTATCATATATCATTTACACACTTAACAACATTAGGTGCGCCAGGCTGACTTTAAGAGTTTTCATTAACATCGTTTCGATCAGTTTCTGACTCTCCTGGTTACATAAAATTGTGTTGAAATAAATTGTTAGTAATGACAGTTAGTGAGAAACAAAACATCGTGCAGAGATCGTTTATAGGTGCTGTTCCGAAACCGCTTAACAAACTAACGTAATATGAATATTGGAACGTTAAATTGGTCGGCACCATTTCTAGTCCATCCAAATCTATTTGAATTGGAATCGGCTTAGTAGTATCGCAGTACGGGCAGTAAGGAGTTCTGCAGATTAAATGCTGATTTGAAACGTACCTCGCTGCTACAACCTCCTCTCCAATTTTACATTTTGGAAATTTGCAGATTGCCCTCTCAAAATTTCTCCCGTAAATATGGATACTTGTTAGCTCTTGACCTGTGCTGGGATACGATCTTGTGAAGGACACTGTTCTGTTGTTATATATGGCTTCTTTGGTGAAATTTATTTTGCAAACGTCGTTTGCTGTGTTCTTGATGTAAAGATCCCAGCTTGGTAACCACTTTTTGTTTATCGCAGTTTCTCTCTCATCTCTCGTCATTCCGCTGTAAGTCAAAGAGTTCAGGGCCAACTGTTTCAGATCTCCCAAATTGAGACCCCAGGACATGAATGCACTGTACCAGTCGATTGTGTGGCTGTCGTACCCGAAGGTGCCTGGATCATCTGGAGATAAGACGATTGGGATGCCCATTTTGTACATGATTTGACCGTAATGGTTTCGTAAATCCGGCTCCATGCCTAAAATCTAGTAAATTGAAATATAATTTGTTTATACTTATCATGATTTTATAAATTTAAAATTTTCAAATTTTGAAAAAAATGGTAAATTTCAGAATACCAGTTTGACTAACTTGATTACTGGTGAGGCAAATTTCAACAGCAATTCTTCTTTCTTTCAACTTCTGCAGCAAGTATGGTTTCTTAATGAAGCCTTTCCCGTGTCCAATTCTCCTTGAGTTCAACAAAATGCTCTCATACGTATTCTCCAATGTTGGCACCGGGTTGTCCTCGAAAGAGCTGGTCATTAAGTCATCGGGCCAGCTAGTTTCTCCAGTGTGTAGGTACAAGGGTATCGTTTGGTAGCCATTCTCTTGTTGGGAGAGATGTTGAGTAAGATAATAAAGAGTAGAGTAACCGTCTTCTTCATAATACGCTGTATCGAATCCTATCACGTGCCTTGGATATTGTTTGTGCAGCTTGATTGAAAGTTTTAAATCTTTTTGAAATAATTCCGGACTGAGTTTGCGGATTGAATAGGATATTTTTCTATAAACCCTTTCGTAATTTCCATCGTTAATTGGATTTCCTTATGATAATCCGAGTCTAACACTTTCTTTCCAAACGTTTCATTACTCATTCCTGTATAATCCAGCTCGTATAGTTGTGGGTCCAATCCAAATTTCTTTCTCGCTTCGTAGTACGTCACTCCTTCAGATAAGGCATGCTCCAAGATGCCTTCTACATGTTTTTCATAAATTTTTATATTTGAAACAAGGTTAACAGAAGCCCTTCCCCACAGCGGATTAATTTTATTCCATCTCTTTTTCGTGTCTGTCGGATTGTTCGTTTCCTTATCGGTCAACACTCCAATCAGTGTATTCTGTCTGATGAGTGTTTCCATATGATACTTTGATCCTTTGACCTGTTTTAAAACGTTTACAACTTAGTAATTCAAATACAAAAACTGTAATATTTCAAAGTTTTCTGTCTCTAAAACTATTTTTAAAAGATCTACCTTAATCCATTTTTCGTTTGTTGGTGGATTAATGAAGAAATCCATGGTCCATGCCCTTGCAGTTGGTTGGCTGGGGTCGATCATGTACAAGTGTTCGAAATCTTCGCTGGCCCATATTATCTCAAATAGTGTTTTCTTGCTTAGCTGGGTTTCTTCAAGAAGTTTATTATTTGCAAATGGGTTAAACAATGACTTACTCATTAAAAGATGTTTAAAAGTGGTGAATTTAAGTATAAAATCTTGAGAAAAAATGTTTTGAAACTAGGAAAATGTACATCTAAAAAATGTGCGTATTTGATTTTTAGAAGTGCAACAAATACTGAAAGAACCTTCGTGTGAATGGAGGTTTCATTTTTTCAATTTCTCAAGGAATTTCTCAAGAACTTGGTAGAGTTTGGTTTCTTTAATTAGGTTTGCAACTTTTTCGATGGGTTTGGACGGGAGGAACCCCTTGACGTTGCTCTCTAACATCTCCAGCCATTTCAAGTGCCCGAAATACGCGTTTACTATATCCTCATCCTGTTGGTTGATAAAGGGTGGCTGTCACACTGCATAACTTGTGAAGCGAGAAATATTATTCTAACAAATTTGGCAATGTTTTTTAAATTTTTGATTTTTAATATTAAGATAACAAAAAACGACAAATTAAAAATGCATTTTACGTTAAAAAGGTTTAAAAAAATGTTTGAGTAATTTTCACCCTGGTGTATTGAAAGTTTCTCCTCTCAAAATTTTTTTCCTCCTCGATCATTTGATCTCTTTCCCTGAAATACTCGAACTCATTCCAAGGCATTGTTCTGTTTCTCTGATGGTCGTCAGGGTTGTACGGGACCATTATGCTTGCCGGCGTCACACAGGACATCAGTAATAACACTGCACCGGGCGTTAGTTGAGATGCTGCCGCTGTTTTTCGTAGGTGGATCTTCATTTTACAAGTCGTTGTCGATGGATTTGAATGAGACGTTACGGTATTTCCAAATGTAGGAATGATTTGGTTTAAAAATTAGGTTTTAGTTAATTAATTATATTTTTAATTGATTAATTAGGTTTTTTTTTGCAGAAAATATTTACATGAACGTCTTACATATCGTTATATACCATTATAACTCTTAAGATTTTGAATCTTCTCAACAGTTTACATGTATGATTGAAAACTAGACGATGTTTCTGCGATAACTACAAAGTATAAAATAAATTGTAAATTAATTCTTAGAATGTTTAACTAATTTTTCAATCATTTAACACAGACTCGACATTGTCAACTGTCTGCTAAACGAGGCTAAAAACAACACTGAACTATTTAACGCATATGCATAGCTAATAAACTTTGAAATAGCATTTTAAAACAACATCAAATCTCTATTATATACTACCTGTATATATATATATATATATATATATATATATATATATATATATATATATATGTACTGTAATATTTTTGAATTGAATTGAAAGAAATTTTTATTCAGCAAATATATATATATATATATATTATGGTCTATTACCAACATATATATATATATATATATATATATATATATATATATATATATATATATATATACATATACATATGTATATATCTCTGTCTGTGTGCGTGTGAGTATGTTTGTATAATTTAGTACTAATTTAGCACCTGCTATGACAGCACTTGTTAGAATTAACTGAATTAAATTGGATTAAATTGCACAGTTCGATAGCCTGGCTCATTATGCGTGCTGGAGACAGTCTCTTTTCACATCATTGTAAAATATTTAAATACTGTTTAATATGATTTTTTTATTTCTACATTGTGCTTGCTTGTGTTTATGATGGTTCTTTTAACGTAGACAGTAGTGTCTGTGCTAAGATGACGCGAGAAAACTTTGCCATTTGTTTTTGTCGTGAGCATCTTATATTTAGGCTACATGTTTCAAAACATGTCGGTGGTTTGTCGGATTGGATGGACGGATGCAGAGGAATGAACGGACAGGAGAGACAGATGACAGAACAAATGATTGAGTGGAGTGGGATAGACAAATGAATGAATGACATGTCAACTACCATACAATATTACGCAATATTCGTCGAGTTATGAGTCATTTTACAAACAAACACACACGCGCGCGCGCACACGCACACACACGCACACGCATGTACAAACGTAAGAGGGGTGACGAACGAACGGTTGAACAGACAAATAAACTTTTAAGCGGATCAGGCAAATCCAACGGTATCAATATAGGTGACACTGACAATAACAACAATAATAACAAAGATAACAACATCAATAATATTAATAATATATAGATATAAAGTTAAATTTAAAATTGTTCGAGATTTCTCTGCCTTTGTTTCGGTTACTAATGGGAGCTACATATAATTTGACGATATGAACAACTCTAGTTCAAAATTCACGTCTAAGGCAAAGTATTCTATGATGCCTGTGTTTGTCTATGTAGTAATTCTTGTGATAGTCGTCCAGTAAGTCTGTTGCAGTAATTAATTAATAATAATTAATTAGTAATTAGTAATTAATTTTTAGCAATTAAGTTAGAAACAGGTGGTAATTGCATATTCAACAGTATTTATGTTCGATTATTTGTGTCTGTCACACACAAACACACACGCACCCACACACACACATACACACACACATACACACACACATACACACGTGAACGAAGTGCATGTACATACAGCACATATGTCCAGGAAATGAACAAAATGATGATTCAAGGAGTTCATCTTTCATATGTGTATATTGTTTGCTCTTTTGTATGTATGTGTATGTATATGTGTGCACGTTTATGTGTGTGCTTATGTAGTTTTAGTATATCATCATTATCGTCATCTTCATAAATTTTTATCATCGGATTATTTGATGCATCATTCATTCGTCATGTCATCCTTATTAATGTAGGTTATATTTTTAATTTATTGCAGAACTTCAAAAAAAAAAAATTTTCAATATCTCTTTGATATATACACTTTATATACACTGGCGCACACACGCACGCATGTATGTATGCCTGTGTATATAAGTATGTGTGTGTGTGTGTGTGTGTGTCTATGTGTTAATTGAAAAATGCCTGTTAATGTCTAATGTCTTGTCGGCAACAATCAGACTGTTTTTGCTGTTTTGGCGTCAACAATAAATTGTTGGAGGTTAACAAACTAATAAAATAAATAGTTTTTTTACCCACTCGGTTCAAATTTTTTTTCTCATATTTTTACTATTTTTTTTTATTTCGTGAGGATGACTCAATCATTCCACTCCAATCAACCAGCATTTCATTCAATCATTCAACTATTTCATCCATTAAACCTACTGTCATCTACACAATCGATCAACCAACCAACCAACCACCAACCAACTGACCAACCTATCAACAAACCAACTAATAATCAATCAATCAATCAATCAATCAATCAATCAATCAATCAATCAATCAATCAATCAATCAATCAATCAATCAATCAATCAATCAATCAATCAATCAATCAATCAATCAATCAATCAATCAATCAATCAATCAATCAACCAATCAACTAATCAATCAACCAATCAATCAATCAATCAACCAATCAACAAACCAACCAATCAGCCGACCAATCAACAAACCAATCAACCAACAAATCAATCAACCAGTGAACAACCAACCAACCAACCATCTTATCAATCACCGACCTGTATCGTATCACCATGACAGTTCCGTACTTGTTTTCAAATCTCGAATAAAAAAATTTAATTGGTTGGCATTATTGAATCTGACAGGATCAGTTGAATTACTGTGTTTATTTATTTATTTATTTGTTTGAATTTATTTAATGATAATAATATTTATAGTAATAATAATAATTTTATTATTATTTCATTTGTTTTGATATTTTCTCTGGCATGCATTTACACTGTATACATTCGTTGCGTTAGTATTGAAACTTTTACATGCCGTGATCACGCTACGAGGAGTAATTGTTTTTGCAGCTGTGGTAGTAACTGAAGTTGTGGTAAAAGTAGTAGCGTCAGCAGCGTTTGCAGTACCAGTAATGGTAGTAGTGGTAGTAGTAGTGGTAGTAGTGTTGAGGTTGGGGTTAGAGCAGTCGTAATAGTATTATTTAGTATGTAATAGTATGGTGGTAGTATTTATTGTAGTACTAATAGTTGTTATCATAATCATCACTACCATCGCCGTCGTTGTCAAAATTGTGCTGCTTTTAGGAGGAAATCTGTCCTTTGTCATCAGTGATCTTATCTATCTTCTTCCATTCATCCTTACTTTGTTTATTCATTTGTTTATTAATTTATTTACTCATTCATTCATTCGTTCGTTCGTTCATTCGTTCGTTCGTTCATTCGTTCGTTCGTTCGTTCGTTCGTTCATTCATTCATTCATTCATTCATTCATCCATCCATTCATTCATCCATCCATCCATCCATTCATTCATTCATTCATGTAGTCGTTTAAACTTCTTCATTTATTAAATCGAATGCCAGTAGTGCTTATGTTCAGAGGGTTTAATTTTTATGTAGTTTGTTTATTGCTAATTTTAATTTAACTGCTCTTGCCCAGTAAAAAATAAATAAATAAATTAATTAATTAATTAAATTTCACTCACTCAATCTTTCACTCGATGCACTCTTTCACTTTTCCATTCCTCAACTCACCTACAGATTAACCTGACCATCGGTGACCTCTTCAGTGACCTCTGCGATGGAAAGATTTTGATGAATTTGTTGGTCATCATATCCGGGGAGATGTTTGGACGGCCTAACAGGGGCGTCCTTAGGGTGCAGAAGATGGAAAACGTCAGTAGGTGTCTGCAGTTTCTCGCCACTAAGGTGCGTTTTGTTGGGTGTTGGTTCGGTTGGGTGGATAGTTGGTTTGTTTGTTGGATTGTGTTTGAGTGTATTTTTTCTCTGATGTTATTACCGTACATCTGTTCGTTTACATGTTTATTCAGTTTGTTATTAAATGACTGGTTCGTTCGTTTGTCTGCTCGTTCATCCGTGAACATGTTCTGTCAATTTCTAAAACCTCGCTTATATCGAGAATGTAGATTAACTTTTAAACTAATTAATGCAGCTTTAACTCGAAGACAATTATCAAATAGTTAAAAAAAGGTTAACTAAAAACAGGCTCATTACATTGGATAAAACATGACTTCTAATTTGTCCTTGAACTTTGACCTTCACAGGTGACCTTCGAGAACATCGGGGCAGAGGACATTGTTGACGGCAACCCTACCCTCATATTGGGCCTCATCTGGACGATCATTTTGAGGTTTCAGATACAGGAGATCACCATTGAGTTGGTGAGTTGATGATGATGATGACGATGATGTTGATGATGACGATGATGGTTATGATGTTTTCACTGGTACAGTTAGTTATCATCAGTATCAGTAGCTGGTTGATATGGACCGACTCCCCGCGTTCTCACTCACACACACACACACGCAACAAAAAATAAATAATAAAAATACTATCATCATCAACAACATTA